CCTGGGGGGGAGGGGGGGCCCAAGTGTGACCCCGAGGGAGAGGCCCGATGACCCCACACTTTAAAGGCTGAGGGTCCTGTGGGGGCGGGGTGGGGTGGGGGAGGTGGACACGCCTTGCTGAGGGGCATTTCGTTTACCCTCCGCGGGTGGACAGGCTTAGGAGGTGGCGGGGGAGCAGTTAAAAAAGGGGTCCCCAGCACCTGGATGAATATCCGTGGTCTCAGTTACAGGTATGTGTGTGTTTGTCTGTATGTGTGTAATGTGAGGTTGCTGTGGACCTCGGGACAACTAGACAGGGGTCCCTGGGGGTATTTGAGGATACGAGGTGCTGGGTGAGCAGTAAAGGAAGGGGTTCCCTGCACCTGGATGGATGAAAGTTCGTGGTCTCAGATGCGGGGGTGGTGTGGTGGGGGTGTGAGGTTGCTGTGGACATCGGGACAACTAGAGATAGGGGTCCCTGGGGGTATTTGAGGATACGAGGTGCTGGGTGAGCAGCAAAGGAAGGGGTCCCCTGCACCTGGATGAAGATCTGCGGTCTCAGATACAGGGGGGGTTGTGTTTGTGTGTGTAAGTGTGTAATGTGAGGTTGCTGTGGACATGGGGACAACTAGAGAGACAGGGATGCCTGGGGCTATTTGAGGATACAAGGTGGTGCGTGAGCAGTAAAGGAAGGGATCCCATGCACCTGGATGAAGATCTGTGGTCTCAGATACAGGGGTGTGTGTGTTTGCGTGTGTATGTGTGTAATGTGAGGTTGCTGTGGACATTGGGACAACTAGAGACAGGGGTGCCTGGGGGTATTTTAGGATAGGAGGTGCTGGGTGAGCAGTAAAGGAAGGGGTTCCCTGCACCTGGATGGATGAAAGTTCATGGTCTCAGATGTGGGGTGGTGGTGGGGGTGTGATGTGAGGTTGCTGTGGACATCGGGACAACTAGAGATAGGGGTCCCTGGGGGTTTTTGAGGATACAAGGTGTTGTGTGAGCAGTAAAGGAAGGGGTCCCCTGCACCTGGATGAAGATCCGTGGTCTCAGATGCAGGGGGAGGTGTGTGTGTGTGATGTGAGGTTGCTGTGGACATGGGGACAACTAGAGACACAGGTCCCTGGGGGTATTTTAGGATAGGAGGTGCTGGGTGAGCAGTAAAGGAAGGGGTCCCCTGCACCTGGATGGATGAAGGTCCGTGGTCTCAGATGCAGGAGCAGGGGGTGTGATGTGAGGTTGCTGTGGACATCAGAACAGTAGAGAGACGGGTCCCTGGGGGGTTTTGAGGATACTAGGTGGTGGGTGAGCAGTAAAGGAAGGAGTCCCCTGCACCTGGATGAAGATGCATGGTCTCAGAGGTAAAGGTGTGTGTTGTGAGGTTGCTGTGGACTTTGGGGCATCTAGAGAGATGGGTCCCCGGGGGTATATGAGGATACAAGGTGGTGAATTATCAGTGAAGGAAGGGCCCCCTGCAGCTGGATGAAGATCTCTGGTCTCAGATGCAGGGGGGCGGGGTGTGCATTTGCGTATATATAATGTGAGGTTCCTGTGAATTTTAGGGCAACTAGAGTGGCGGAGAGAGAGATAGGGGTCCTGGGGGTATTTGAGGATACAAGGTGGTGGGTGAGCAGGAAAGAATGGGTTCCCTTTACCTGGATGAAGATCTGTGGTCTCAGATGCATGGGGGGGGTGTGTGTGTTTAATGTGAGGTTTCTGGTGATACTAAGGCAACTAGAAAGACAGGATCCCTGGGGGTATTTGAGGATACGAAGCAGCTGGCATGGCAGATTGAGGGTGAGGTGAGGTCAGAGTGAGCAGTAAGAAACGACTAGGGTGTCAGGGCCGATGGGGTGAAGGGGCAGCTGTGGATACTCAAGTCTGTTGGGGTTCTTGGGTCATCCAGGGGAGCTTCTGGGTTGATGGAGCTGCGTCCTGGCTCAGGGCTTGCATTGGGTTAGGGTCACTGCGGAAGCCCTGCTTGGTAGTCTTATCTCAGGCATTGAGAAAGAGTGGCTTTCAAACTCAAAAGAGGTCACCCACTTTTCCTCTCCTGGCCCCACTTCTGCTTGGCCTTGGTGGCTCCTCAGCTGGCCACAGACTAAGCTGTCTGGTCGGTGTCCCCGCCCAGGGGACCCTGGATCAGTGGGGGCTGTTTGCGCCTCAGTGAAATCCTGACGTTCTGGAAGGGCGAACTTGTCCGACCAGGGAGAGGGCGTTCTGTCCTGACAGGGTGGGCGGAGGTGGCCAGCGTGGCCAGCGTGGGTGCCTGAAACACCACTGTGGAGAGGCCCTTGTGCCCCAGGGCAGAGCTGGGCAGAGGAGAGTGACCCAGGCCTGATGCGGCCCGATTGTTGATTCAGCTGCATTTCCTTCCGGGTTCCCCAGTGCTGGGCCTGTCCAGACACCCAGAGCCGCGTCCTCCCTCAGCTAGACGGCTCCCAGCTTGCTCTACCTGCCCGACTGCACTGAAGTCAGGGTTCCTCTGTCTCTTCCTGTCCCCTCAGGCCCCAGGGGAGCCCCTGCTCTGAAAGCTTTGTGTCAAGGCAGTTCTTTCAGCGTAGTCTGTAGTTGAGTGAGTGGTGTGCAGTCCCTTCCATGTGACACCGGAGTCCTGCCCCATAGCTTCCCTAGGCTGGACGCTTGGTGGGAGCAGATGGCCAGGCCTGTCCTCTTGTAGAGGTGCTGGGGAATGCTCACTGACCCCTTCTGTCTTAGTGTCCCCGGTCCCTCATGCTGTGCTCTGTGCCTGGAAGGTGAGAGTTCTGCCATTGAACTTGAACTTCCCCATCTCGTTGGTTTCTGTGTGCATTCAGGCTCACAGTGACCCCCACCTGAGGGGGGGAACCTGTACCAGGGGGACGGTTTCAGGGCTGTCACTGAGATGATGCAAGTGGCATAGCTGGTTGCACTTTGTGTAGCTGACCGAACCCCTGAGCTGTTCCTTGGGAGAAAGGGGACCCCTTCTCTTCCATAATGGTTTACAGCCTCCGAAACCCACCTGAGAGTCCCCAGGAGTCGGGGCAGCTGGTCTAAGAGTCGATTTCTCTGGGAAGGTGGGGTTTGAACGACACGCGTTTCCTTCCTTAGCTTAGCATCTAACCACCTCATCCCTACCCCCAGTTGTCATCTGAGACTGTAAGTCTTCCCAACAGCAGACTGCCTTTGTTTTCCCAGTGCTAAGAGTAGATTTGAACTGCTGATGTTTTGACTGGTAGCGCCACGCACCACCAGCGCTCCAGGGTTTGGCGCTTTGATTGTGATGAACGGTCCCCTCTGAGCAGTGTCCGTGACCCACTGCGTCTCCTGGGTGTGAGGCGGCGGACGGTATGTGGGGGGGCTCAGGGCCTCCCCCCATCCCTGACTCCCGCCCCTCTGTGCCTTGCAGGCCCCGCGCTCCGGCGATGGCCGCGGCCACCATCGTGCACGACACGTCTGAGGCGGTGGAGCTGTGCCCGCCGCACGGCCTGTACCTCAAGCCCATCACCAAGATGATCATCAGCGTGGCCCTGCCGCAGCTGAAGCAGCCGGGCAAGTCCATCTCCAACTGGGAGGTGATGGAGCGACTCAAGGGCATGGTGCACAGCCACCAGTTCTCCACGCTGCGCATCGCCAAGAGCACCATGGACTTCATCCGCTTCGAGGGCGAGGTGGAGAACAGGAGCCTGGTCAAGTCCTTCCTGGCCTGCCTGGACGGCAAGACCATCAAGCTCAGCGGCTTCTCCGACATCCTCAAGGTGCGGGCCGCCGAGTTCAAGATCGACTTCCCCACGCGCCACGACTGGGACTCCTTCTTCCGCGACGCCAAGGACATGAACGAGACCCTGCCGGGCGAGCGGCCGGACACCATCCACCTGGAGGGGCTGCCCTGCAAGTGGTTCGCCCTCAAGGACTCGGGCTCCGAGAAGCCCAGCGAGCAGGTGCTGGTCCGCGTGTTCGAGAAGTTCGGGGAGATCCGCAACGTGGACATCCCCATGCTGGACCCCTACCGCGAGGAGATGACCGGCCGCAACTTCCACACCTTCAGCTTCGGGGGCCACCTGAACTTCGAGGCCTACGTCCAGTACTGCGAGTACGCGGGCTTCATCCAGGCCATGAGCGCGCTGCGGGGCATGAAGCTCATGTTCAAGGGAGAGGACGGCAAAGCCGTGGCCTGCAACATCAAGGTGAGCATCCTCACGTCCCCGGGACCCTCCGCGGCCCGCCTCCAGGGGTGGGGGGTGTCATCCCCGCGGGGATTCCTGTAGGATTCACGCTGTCCGCACCGATGGAGAAACCGATTTCCACTGTGTCGGCTCCTGCACATTGTGCTCGGAGCAAAGCGCGGAGGCCCCAGATGGCTGCATTGTTAACGCAGACCCCGCTTTCTCTTGTGATTTGCAGAGCCTGTGGGTTCCCGTTCATCCCGTCCCGCACCCTCGTTGCGTGGCGTGGGTGGAATTTCACGCCGTGCAGCTGTTCTCTCCCCGCTCCAGCCCTGCGTTCGCCTTCTCTGTCCCTCCTCGTTTCCTCCCCCTTCCTGCCTTCTGAGCTCTGTCCCTTGGCTGGACGCTGCTGTCCCCGTGATCTCGTGGAGGTGCTGGTTTCAAGGAGTGTTGTTCCCCAGACCCCAGCTCACCCCTGCGTCACGGCGGCTCCCTGCCGGCTGTCTGAGCCTCCGCATCTTGACGGGCTCCAGCCACGGGCAGTCGCCTCTTTCTTCTCCCCTGGCGTGGCTGCTGGCTTTGCACTGCTGACCAGCACCATTGGGGCTCCTGTGTTCTCCTTCGAGGCCCATATGCCCTTTGTCTGACAGTAAAGTCTCATGGGTGAGGTCAAGGTTCAGGTTACCCGAAGGGGTGTCTGAGGTCCCTAAGGGGGAGACACAGATGTTGCAGAGAGCGCCCCGTGTTGAGACCGTGGACGCCGGGGTGTCCTCTCACCCACAGCAGAGGGAGTGAGCCGGAAGCCCCTGTCTGCTGTCTGTCTGTCCATCCCTCTGCTGTCAGATTGCTTCCAGCTCAGAGCTGCCCATCCAGCGGGTGTGTCGCAGCTGTCCATGGCATGGAGACTACTGCCTGTGTCCATCCCTGAGAACCGCTAGTGGGTTTGAAGCTCCAGAGAGGCTTAGCCTTTGAGCTAGGAGTGCAGCTGCCCACCAGCGAGGCCACTGGAGCCTCCTAGAGGGCCCACCTGGAGCGGGAGTTCCTCCTGTCCTGGATACGTGGGTGTGCTTCGCAGGTCCACAAGAACTCCTAGAGGGTCTCTGCAGTGGGGTTCTTGATCTACCTGGCCTCGGTCAGGAGGGCTCCCAGGGTCAGAGGGGCACCAGGCATCAGTCAGAAGGGCCCCTGGGCTCAGAGGGGCGCAGGCCATTGGTCAGAAGGGCTCAGAGGGGCGCCGGGCATCAGTCAGAAGAGCCGTCGTGCTGACGGGGCGCCATCATCTAACAGGACCCCGGGTCCACTTCGTGGAGACCTCCTGTCACGCAGTAGGCCTGCCCCACAGGCATTTTGTGGCCAGAACGGTGAAGCTCTCACCTGTCGTGCTGCTGAGCCCGCGATCAGTGGTTCCAATCCAGTGAGGGCTTTGAATGGACGGTGGGCAGCCTCCTCCTGTAAATGTTTTGAGCCTTGGAAACCCAGCGGGATGGAGAGTGGATCAGAACCAGGACAGCAAGTGGCGTTTAAGATTGCTGGGTCCTTCTCCCTCTGAGGCCTGGGGTGTTCACACTGTGATCTTTACGGAGCAGTAGGGGCTTCAGCACGGTGCACTGGAGTCAGTACAGTGTCAGGTGTAAGCGGTCACCACCCCACACGCCTGACTTAGGGGGCTCTGCCCCGGGACACGGCTGTGGGTGGGTTCAGACCTAGGCAGAACACCCCGTGGTTTTTATGGGCTGTTTTCATATGGGTGCCTTTGTAAATCCAACCTCCGTGTGCCCGGGGGCCTGGAGAGCATCGCTGCCAGGTTCCCGACCAGGGTGAGATCGGAACACCGTGCGGGGCCGTGTGTGTTAAGGAGCAGACGGTGGACCAGCTTAGCTGGGGCCCATCGCAGGCGCGTTTCATCGTGATCTTGTTTCATCACGGTCTCTTTTCATCACAGGCACGTTTCCTGTGTCCGGTGCGGCGGGGACGCTCACCGTGGAGCTCTGGGGTCTAGTTGGGTTGGCGTGCCACCGGCGTGTGACTTCAGGGCAGTGCTCCCGGGCCTCCCTGGCCGGGGGTCAGCTTGTGAGGTGTTTGTCCTGTCGTCTGGCCCGCAGGTCTCCTTCGACTCCACCAAGCACCTGAGCGATGCCTCCATCAAGAAGCGGCAGCAGGAGCGGCAGAAGCTGCAGGAGCTGGAGCAGCAGCGTGAGGAGCAGAAGCGGAGGGAGAAGGAGGCCGAGGAGAAGCAGAGGGCGGAGGAGAGGTACCCGGGGCTGGGGGGTGGGGGAGAGGTACCCGGGGCTGGGTGATGACTGAGGAGGAGGCTGAGGAGAAGCAGAGGGTAGAGAAGTAGCTGGGGCCAGGGGTCAGGGATGTAGGGGGGCAGAGGGCCGAGGAGAGGTAGCTGGGGACGTGGGGTGTGGAGCAGAGGTACCTGGGGACAAGGGATGGAGGGTGGGGCTGCCCTGGTGGGCCCCTGGCCATTACCTGTGTGTTGTGCACGTGTGTGCACGCCTGGGGGCTGTCAGAAACAGTCTCCTGGGAGAAGGGTTTCTCTGCCTTCTCTCCTTTTTGACACACACACGTACGTGTGCAGGAACCCCACCTGCCTTCAGAGCCTCCTTTCCTGCTGAACGCACCTCACCTGTGCACACAGGCACACGCCGGTATCTTGGCTGCCACACTGGCGTGCACTGTGGGTTCAGTGACAGAGAATCTAAGCGAGTTGTCCAGGTTTTAGGAAGCGAGAATCCAGCGTCCGCAGCCCTGTGTGCCTGGAACGGCCTCCCATCCTTCACTGCGGGTCACGTTGCCGGGGGCAGACTGTGCTCACCTTACTCAGGGTCTTGGAGCTATTTAGGTCTTGCTGGCCGTGATGGAGGGAAGGGATTCCAGGGGCTGGTTTCTGTGCCCTCGTTCGCCCCGTTTGGTTCGCTGACCCCGGGTGTCGTCCCCTGACCACACAGTGGGACGGGGCACTCTGCCCAGCTCCTCCCGGTGTGTCCCTGTCCCCTTCAGCCCCTGTCACCTCCCATCCAGCGCCCTGAGCTCTGTCCCTGGACAGAGGCTGCTCGCCGTGACCAGACGGGACTGCTGCTTCCGGGTGGTCTCACGGGTCGGCCGTTCTAGTGACGAGAGCTCAGAGAGCAGCACTGCCAGCCCCACGGCGGCCGGTTCAAATCCTCCAGCCGCTCTGTGTGAGGCCAGCGGGCTCTCACCGCCTCTGACCCAACGCTTCGGGGAGGGTCAGCTCCTGGTGCTTCACCATACTTTGTCCATCACAAGGACACTTCACAGGTGGCTGCAGCAGTCACTTTCTGTTGATGGACACAAGCCTGTAGGGGCTGTGAAGTCCAAAATGTATGGGTCACCTGACAGGAGGAGTCGCCCTCCCCTCGGAGTCCCCCTGGTCAGCTGTGGGCAAAGTACAGAGGCTGGGAGTTGAGACAGAGTCCTCTGCTGGGAGAAGTCTGTGGAGGCCAGAGAGAGAGAGAGGCCCTGGGGCTGGACTCGGATAGCAAGGGGATGTTTCAGACCCTGCAGATAGATGTCTGTCCCGTCCGCCTCGGGCCTCGCAGCCAGTGGGCCCTCTGGACAGCCCTGGCCTTGCTGTCCCGCACCCTGGTCCAGCTCTGTCCCACTGTGGACAGCCCTGGCCTTGCTGTCCGTGTCCCGGCCCCACTGACCCCGCACCCGGCCCCTCCCCGTCCCCCACAGGAAGCAGAAGGAGCTGGAGGCGCAGGAGCGCGAGCGGAGGCGCGAGGAGAAGCTGCGGCGCCGGGCACAGAAGCAGCGGGACCGCGAGCTGCGGCGCAGCCAGAAGAAGCTGGAGCGGCTGCAGGCCGAGGAGCAGAAGAAGCTGCAGGAGAAGATCCGCTCCGAGGAGCGCAAGCTGCTGCTGGCCCAGCGCAACCTGCAGTCCATCCGCCTGGTGGCCGAGCTGCTGAGCCGGGCCAAGGTACCCGCGTGCCCGTCCTTCCGCGCGCGTCCCCCTCGGCCACACCCGCCCGTCCGCTTCCCCCCCTCCTTACCGCGCCTCCCCAATCCAGACCTCCCCATGCGTGCCCCCCCTCCTTACCTGCCCGTGCGCGCCCCCTCGTCCCGATCCTCGCGGGGACCCAGTGTCCATCCCTGCGCCTCGGCCCTGGGCTTGCTGGGCACCGTGGCGGCCCTTCCCCTCTGAAGGCCCGGTGCGCCTGTGACCGGGATGGACTTGGGGGACCTGATACCCAGGGCGCCACGTGTCAGCCTGCTGCGGCCACAGGGTCCCGCCTGGAGGGACACTGGCTCAGGCACCCCAGCTAGCCACGGCTGACAGCCCGCCGCCCCGTAGAGTTCTCCCCTCGCCCTGGCGGGAGCAGATAGCCACAGCTCTGGGGTCCTTCGGGAGGTGTGGCCCTTTGTGGGGTTGCCAGTCCCCCACCGGCCCCCGCGGAGGAACGCGGGCCCTGACCTCAGGGAGTTGGAGCCTCGGGACCCCGCTGGAGGGAGGGTCAGCCAGGAGGTGCTTCTGCCTGGACCACGTCCGCTCGGTGTGGGCTGTGTGTCTGTGAAGACCCCTGCGTCAGCCCCAGACATAAGGAGCAGACGCAGCGCGCTGGCCCAAGTCCCCGCAGGACGCGGCACGAGGGCCCCTGGGGTCAGTGAGTCTCCGCAGACGCCCCTTCTCCCCCAGCGCGGCGGGTGGGGGCCCGCATGTTGTTAGTACAACGCTTCAGAGCTGTGGGAGAAACGTGGCTTCCCGGGCAGGAGACCCGGGTTCGAGTCCCCGCCAGCCGCTCCAGCGGTCACCACGGTCCGTCGGGGAAGGCTCGCGTGTCCGGCAGGGATGGGCTGTCCTGGCACAGGCTTGAGTCCGAGCTCTGGCCCCCAGGAGCAGGAGTAAAGGTCTCCTGGTGGAAATGGCCAGGGGAGCACAGACGGGGGTCGGCTCCGGCGGGTTTGGCTTCTCAGGGTGGTGGACAGGCGATCAGCCCCCTGGAGCCCTGAATGGCGTCAGAGCGACGGCCTCACCATGCCCCCGGCTGGGAGGGCGCCCACGCTGGGCCAAACCCCGGGGCCCCCTCAGTTCTTGGGGTGAGGTCGCCAGTCGTGAGGGGCGCGCGGAGCGCTGCAGCCTTCCCGAGAGAGCGTCCGGCTTGTCCCCGCTGTCCTTGTGCTGGGGGGTCCCCGAGCACCGCCCCTCGGTGCGCCCGTCCGCTCTGGTAACACCGGGGCCACACTCGGCCCGCGCACCCCTGGACCCGGGAAGGGCGCGTCCTTGCGACCCGAAACCTGTTATCTGCTTACAGTCGCGTTAAGTCCCGGGAAGGACAAAGGGCAGGCGCGCCGGGACGCGGGGCCCCCAGTACCGGCTTCACGGTGAATATTGAAGACGCGAGCCCGCCGGGGCCCGAGCGTGCGGCGTGCGCCCCGCTGCCGGC